AAGCATATGTTGTAGGTATCGTTATTTTCACCTGTAGTGAGTGTCGAATGACCGCTAGGGTTGTGTCTCAAGCCTGCTTTCCAACAGGTAACATTCGCTGACCACGAGAGGGTCCAGCATCTCGGAATCTCCGTACTTTGAGCAGGCTAAATTAACCAGTAGGCTTGTAATTGTGAGACCACCAGGAGAAGAGAGGAACTACTTCCCGGATGTTCATATCGCATGCACGCCTGACCACGGAGGGTCCAGCATCTCGGAATCTCCGTACTTTGAGCAGGCTAAATTAACCAGTAGGCTTGTAATTGTGAGACCACCAGGAGAAGAGAGGAACTACTTCCCGGATGTTCATATCGCATGCACGCATTTCATGTAAGAGAGTCGCAGGACACTTAAATTACGTTGTCGAAACTCGGCATAATAACGTTGCACTGACTAGGGCGAAGGTTTAGTTTGGTAATTCTACCCACTGTCCCGACAAGAGAAAGTCTGACCTCCCAGGGCAATTAAACAAGAACAGTGGAGTGCGTAATCCGCTTGAAATGGATTGCAAACTTGGTTCTTACCTCCCCTGACGACCAAGGGGTCCGGATCATCCAACTACGCTGTCTGCTCAGTCAGGAAGATTGATATGTTTTCCGGACCCTTGCAGTGTGAAACGAAATGTATTCCTTACGTGTCGGAAATGGCGTCATTCATGGAGCAGACGCTACGCCTGGGAACTCGAACAAGTTCTGTAACCGTGAAATTCAGAGTGAGCGATGCGCGAAACCTCGGAGACGAAGACGGTAAAATGAAATTGTCGGAAAAATTAGCGAATGGCGCCGGATGCCCATATCAACCGGGTCACCTAAGCAATCGAGCACAGTGTAAAATATGCTAGTGCGAACCCCAGAGATCATCGTCAGTTAAAGTTTTGCGTGAGTTTCATGCAGCATGGTCCTGTCTAAAGATGAGTGTGCTGGTCCAACCTACATGGCGGAAAAATAGTTTGTGTGAGGCAAGGCCGCTGAATATTTTGACGCTCAAAAATATGTTTCATCAACGAAATCGACAGGAAGCGCCACAACTGTGGCCAGGAAGTGAGTGGAAGATAAAACCTTGCCTGCCATCAAGCGGGTGATGGCCAGACAAACAACCAACCCACAGCGCTGTATATCTAATGGTAAAGAACTCGTACGCACCCTAAATAATATTCATTCTCAGCTAGTGGGTAGCATACCGTCAGGCATGATCATAATATTACAGTCAGAATAAGAGCATGGCTGATGGAGACTGCGATTAATGGGAATTTCCTGGAAAGGAGACGGTGACGTAAATAGTGGTCATTAATGAAGTAGACATCATCACACCTTAGGTGGCATGGGTAGGGATCCAAAATTACAAGGGCTCTTCATCTCCTATGGAGAAAATATCAGATGACACAACATCTGATCGTTAGGATTTAAAAGTGGCGAGGAAATATCGTCTGGAGTTCCTCATTTTTAGGCACCAACGAAGTCTTTAGGGCTTCACCGAACGGTATGACAAAAAACTTAAAGCTTGGTTGGATAGCATCGATTGGGCGTCCAGCTCGCCGCCAAGCAACTGCACGCCTTGGGGTAGCTGGCTCAGGTTTTCCCGGATTCGAGATCGTAACTTCTTGGAGGGTCTAGCCTCGTGACTTCCGGTACGTATCAGGATTGAAAGTACTAACTCCAAATGAGAGCCTTGAGTGCAGATTCTTCGGAAGTGTAATCGACATTCGACCTAAGGGGCCCGGCGTGAAAGAACTCTTGCAATTCAGCGTTGTAATGCGCCTTGCTTGCCTTGCACATTGAGTTTATGCAGTAGAAAGACATGAGTTTGCGCAGTTAAAGGTTGACACGTCCAGTGAGTTACTCAGCCCTTCCCTGGCGACAAGCTTTCCGCAGAAATAAGTACGTTCGGTAAATATGGAATGTTTCAGATGAATCCGTCTTACGTGAGGGGTTACACTTTAAGGTCACAGTGCTTCAAGGGACGTTCCATGTATGTGCGCGGTATGGTGATGAGACTTATTGACCCGGAACTAGCCGGTGGCAGGTGGTCACCGAACCCGGAACCCGGTGTAACAAAAGCATGTAACCAGAGCGATCATATAGAACGCGTCTACAAGAATTTTCTCAATAACTCAAAACGTTCCCGACCTCCTGAGGCGACGTCTGTTTCAACATTCTCTGACTGCCACACCGCGGTCCTGGGTGCAAAACGAATTTACTCTCAAACGTAGGTCTGCCTGACTTGAACATCCGGTGAATCGTAAGCATACTGAAGTGGTGCGGAAAAGGAGCGCGTTGATACCAGGTCATTGGTTTATGAAATAATAGCGCATTCTGAAAATTTCCGCCATGCACCCGAAGAACGACCCGCGATCTGCCTAACTTATGATGTAACTTATCGCGGGTGGTTTGCCTTTCCGGCAATATCGCGTATATTTCTGGAATATATTCTCACTGGGTTTGATGAGAATTGAGCTTTGGTACCATTTCTGGTTAGGGAATTTGCAACTTTCGACTCCGTATCAGATCCGCATTTGCCGATATACTGTTTTGCTTCTAGAGCACAAGGAACAATTTATTCGAAAAAGCTGATGCCCCATCCGGGAGGCACTGGTAAAGTTTCTTGAAATTGCGCTCGAAAGCGCGACAATTTTTCCAACGAAAAAAGCTCTTGAGCCTGGAGCGATGCCTGAACCAGTGTGTTGTATTTGATTGCCGCGTACGGCGAGTTTGGAGCGCGTTTAGACAGAAACCCTGCTAATTAAACGATATTTCGTACATGTAAAGTTTGGATGAAGATCTTGAAAAGGATCCGTCGTCCAAAAATGCATGCAACTGAAGTGAAAACCACCGTCCGTAACTAACCTGGTGCAATTCTCGTTAGTTTTGATTAAGCTGCGCAGCGGCGGTGGCTGCCGCAAAACGCGGGGGGTGCTTAACAGTTAAGTGCTGAAACATCTTTCCACACGTAAAACCATCATGATTTTCCCAGTGGTTCCGTTCAGCTCAGTGGGTCCAGAAGGCTCTGCGATCTCCCAGTAGAAATAATTGTTTGTAACTGCCGGTCGGGTTTACCTGGTTCGATTCAAACATAAGATACAAATTACGTTCGAGCGAACTGTAAGAGTAAAGTTAGACCACTTAGAAGAATAGTTCCCTACAGGGAAAATCAACGAAATGAAATTGTTTAAGCCATGTGTGACTGTATACTACAGGGCTATGGGGAGAATGTTAGTTTTCCGAATTACAGGGGCAAATCCACCCGCATTCTTCCATCCTGTCATTCCAGACAGGTAAAGACAAGAGCTTGGCAACTCTAATTTGAAAGCATTGAGGATGGCTGGTTTTCGATGGAGAGATGATGTAAAATTGCAGAGAGACCATAATGTTCCAGGTGAATTCGATGCTGATACAAATAAAATCTTCCCCTATTTGTGTAAGGAACCCTGTCCCGTTAAAAGAGTGTAGGCACACCAATGCAAGAGGAGCATGGGCGGTTCACAGAGCTTTCAAAAATCTAAAAAATAACGGAAATTCTATTTGCTGAATCGATGTACATGCTGCTAACAATGAAAGCTTCATAAAGAGCATACAACATGGAACCTGACAGGGACGCCCCCGCGTAACCGCTCTGCAGAATATAGGCAACGACTGACCTGACACCGTCGTTAAGTCCGCTTCCACCCGAGGCCATGTAATTCGATTTCCCAAAAGCGGCTGTTGCGGCGCACATTAAATGACGTTTAAACGATCTCAAGCTAAATACGGCCTCATGTTTTTCTTTGGAATGTTTTCACAGTTGTGTGGCAAGTAGAACATACTTGGTCAGTGTGGATGTTGCACCGAAGACTACTTAGTCGGCATTTTGTAAAGTCTCGCAGGATCCAATCCCGGTCCCAGCCGTTTGCAATCCACATTAACCAAACCCTGTCTCTAAAACGATCACTGAATAATTAAGATCTATCGATTGTTTCTCTGCCATGAAAACAGAACAAAACAAAAGTCTGGCCCGAGCTTCTTCAGTGGTTAAGCGCCCGAAATATTTAGACTTTCATGATGATTACATACGATAGAAAAAACACATCTAATCCAGCGGAAGGTTAATGGGGACACTCCGGCGATGGGAGCAAGCTCAAAGAATTCTCATTTAGCACCCATAAATCGAAAAACAAAATTGTGCCAATCACCAAAAGTATGAATGTGCATGGTGTTTCTGGAGATGAACGCTGTTCAATTCTAAATAAAACCCGGTATTACTTAACCGATACCAAAAATCAACACCCAAAAAGGTTCTCACCACTTCAAGAATGATGCTGGTGCAAACTGAAGACTAGTGATAATATTACTATTAGGTGATCAGAGAGCTCAATCTTTTATATCGGAAGACCCACGGAAACTTAACCTCACGTTTAGCTTCATGTCCAACCCTTATCCCCATTCAGACAACTAATCTAACTCTAAGGGGACCCGATCATCATCCCGATCACCGGCACAAGCACCTACCAAGCAGCGAAGCTTCCATATTGGTAAGAATTCTGCTGATCTTAAACCAGGCTCTGACTGAAGCAGCAATACTTTCATCCGTTCACTTTAGTCTTATAACCCCACCCATGTATGTTGGGAAGGTTTGAAGAAGTACAGTGGGTAGTTAAGAATTTAAAAAAGATGAAAGGCGCAGTGAAAGAGCGTTGTAACTGCTGTGGTTTTACTATATCATCCCCTTACACCTTCGTGTACACCTATTCACTGTGAGAACCCGACCGATCACCTACGTCAGTCATTTGTTCCAGCGGGACGCCGAAGAAAGCCTCGATTAATGACCTCAATTTGTCCATCTCGGAACGAGTCGTCAGCACATGGACACTTTACAAGATCAAGGCAGATCTCTTGGTGGAATGGGAACTAAAATGCTTTTAATCTATAACATTATATTAACTTTAGATGCTGCAGTTACTATAACACCATATCACACTTGAAATTCCGATGAAAATCAAGGTCGCAACCACCTTCAGTTTCCGTACCGATAGCAAAGATGGTCAAAATGACGAGCGATTCATCAGTTCCGCCCTAATGTTCGAAACCAACGAAGGGTGCACGGTAGAGGGAGGGGTTAGTCAGAGTGTCACTTTAATTACCTGAATTTAGCAGTGCCAATGCGGCACGGATCAGGAAGAAGACGATAATCAGTGCCCAGTGCGAGATGCATGTATTGGTCTTGTTCCAGATGACCAGATCTCGGAGCCGAAGAAAACAAGTGTTCCAAGGTTCATGGTCATTGGGAAACCATGTACAGGGAAAACAACTCTAGCAAAGCAACTTTGTGATCAGTTCGGTTGCGAATTGGTTAACGGTAGGGTACTTTTTAAAATTTGAGCCTCAGATTTCCAGCCAGCGAACTGGTTCAGTATCACTTATCAAGACCCACAGAACAGGGAATTTTGATCGATGAGACTTTGCGTGGAGGCAATGATCTGTCAGACGAAATAGTGCTCGACATTATTAAGACTAAGCTGGAGTCCGAACAATGCAAACAGAATGGATATGTGATTGACGGGATACCAACGCACAGCGAACGATCAATGACGATTGGTGAGCAATTGGACTACATTTTCTCCCTGGAAAATGGGCCCACTCATCTCATTGAAATTCAGGTGAGTTTGGTTGTTTGTTTGTAATATGTCACTCAAAATCAGTCAAAAAGCCTTTTGTTCTGTTTTCAACGCAGCATAATTATATATGGAGGAACCAATATTTATTCGTTTTCTCCTCAACATGCCATAAGTGCACGGCACCACTCATTCAGATAAACAACTAATTTCTGAGCTGTATTAACTTGAAGTTTGGTGAGGCCATCGGAGGGCATACCAACCCCAGTATTGTCAGAATAATTCCCATCACCCTAGCCGAAGACGACTGTCCCGCAACCAGACTTCTTCCCAACTATTTTTCACGACATCCATCACCCTGTGGGTAAGAAACAGAGGGTCAAACTGGTAATAAACTGCAACGTTATTGGTGTTTTCCAAAAAGTTAAATGTGCTTTAGTCTGCAATTTACTTGCACCTACAGGAAAACATAAAGTTCATTGATTTTCTTGTGGCACAATGTGCTCATTTGTTCAATACTGCATTACTAGCCTTCATAGCCTCCATTTACATTAACCCGCAATAATACAATAAAATTTTTAAAAAATATTGGTCGTTGGTTTACTGAAAAATATTTTTAAGGCGGATTAAAAAAGTGCATTTTCAAGGATTTGTCGATGAACAACACGTCGTAAAACTGCATAAAAGTTTTATTGGAAAGAAAGTGGAAAAGACGGGCTTCTGGACAACCGGCAACATTGATGATCAGGCATGACCTTTTTAGTGCCAAAGATGCTGTGCGTTATATGTTGAAAATTATCCCATCTAAATTAAGGGGTGCCTGGTTTAAATCGCGTTTAAAACACTTCATTGGTTATCCTATAAATAGTGTGTATTCGGTCAAGAACCGAAAAATGCAAATGTTGCGAGATTAACCAAAGAAAATCTTTAATAAGTTAAGTGTGAAGTAGAACCAAAAAGCTATTTCAGAATCAAAATATAGGTCCACAAAACTGAGCATAGATCTAAAAATAATCCGGATGACTAATTTCTCTACTTATTTCTGGTATCAGCGTGCTGCCCAGAGAAATCTTCACTGGGCTCTTTACTAGAAAAATTCACGTTGTTGTCTAAAGTAAAAACATGTATCGCGCAGTTTTTATGGTATCTCAGGTCGAACTCGCATTAATACTCATCATGAATCCAAAAATGAATAGTGTATTTTGATAAGCGACTAAAAGTATCTACGGGCATTGTAAATAATGCCCCTCTAGAGACATTATGCATTGACATAGGTATAATAAGGCCGTTATCTTTGGGCGCCTCTGGGTTTGAAGCAGCACCAAATTTGTATTTTTGTGACGTCATCTTATGTTTCGATATTTTTCAGCTCTTGATTGATGGATTATACCGCCAATTTTTACACCTGAAGTGCATTCATTAGCATACTGGCCGAGCAAACCGCCCTTGTAGGTAACACGGGACTTACAAATTGGTTTTCTAGTTTGAAACAAGTATTAGAACTCGTTGAAAATCCTATTAGTAGCCTTTTCTTATTTATTAAGAGTCTATTAAACGCTGTGCCATGGGCGTAGAGTTTGAATCTAGACTTCTAGCAAACGAATCCCGCTACTTGTTGAATCATGAAACGGACAAAATCAACAGTGGTTTGTTCTGTGTCTCAGAATTAACCTCATTCTCTGTTGATACTACTTATTCTGGTAGCTAATTTTGGATTTAGCAAAAACATTTTCTAGTCCAGCTATAATTCATAGAGTAAAAATAAGAAGTCAAAGTGTAAATTTATCACGCATTTTGCTTCTAACGAAGAATATGGCTGCTAAATTGTCTTAAATGTATAAAACTAAAGTGGTTCTTTGAAGCCGGTGCTGNCATCTTTTTGTGCAGCTAGGGCAGTTCATTTATCATCATAATGACGTTCTCAACGGTTTGACTTCTTTTTCACTCCGTTACTCTTCATCACAGGGTCTTGTACATTTGTTTCAGAAACTTTAACACTTCTGCCTTCAATATCTTTCGGTATCACACTTTCAGTTTCCTCAAATCTCATCAGGTCGGGTTAGCTCTTGTTGCCTTCTCCTCTACCCTCATTACATCTCAGCATACACAGGTACTTATGAATTTGTGTAGTGGAACGGTTATAAATATGATTTGTCCAGACAAACATAAATCATCCTTATTATAAAAATATAGATGGAATTAGATAAAAAGCTCGGTATTTTTCCCGATGAATCAAGTCTTCAACAAAATATGTTTTTTTGTGGTTATTATGACTTTTCACATAATTCTGATGGGTTTGTTTCCACAATACCTTGCTGCTCAATAGTCAGCATCGTCCGTTTGGTGCGTATACGGATTAATTCAACGTAGGTTCCCATGATGATCAATACCTAATTTGATTGGTCACTCTGCGTGAAAGACACCAGTGTATTGAGAATATATCGAAACAGCCGAGATTTAGTCGGTAAATAATGCAAAAGAAAAGTTCTTAAATCCCGTCTGCTAATCTGTAGCTTGAGACGTAGATGACTTGGCGGTTAGGGCGGATGTTCATTACGTTCGTACGGTTACAAAAGCAACCATCTTGGATGTGGTCAGAAAAGCGAGTGGTGACATTATAAGGATGAGTTATTGTAATCCGAATATTTAAGTGTAACACAGAAAATAGAGCAACAAAATCCGGCGGCAAATCACACTTTATAGTTCTGAAATAACTAAGTTATACAGTCTAATATTTTGGCAAATTAGCGGATGGATTACAATAAAAAGCAAAAAAGATAGCTATCTGCGCTAGTCTGCATGTACGTTTGATTTCAAACATAGCTATGTTTGAGTTCTATAGAACTCAGTAACATCTGAGTACAATGTCAAACATAGTATGTTTGAGTTCTATAGAACTCAGTAACATCTGAGTACAATGGATGACAATAACGAAACTAACGTTCATGGTAACGGCGCACACCTTGACACGCGGAAGAAAGCGAAACACCCATCTTGCTTTAACAACTAATAAAAAGTGGCACTGATTCAAGGTGTTCATCTCAACTGCAAATTTCCTTGTACAGAAAATGATGGATGATTTTTTGGAACTTGAAAACGCATACATACACTGAAGAGGTGAACCGTCACTTTCCATTCGCTGATGACGAAAATTTGCTTCATATTTGTTCATAATGTTCACAAATAACTACAGAGCAAACGGCACTTACTCACATGCAGCATTGTCCGTCCACGAAGTGCAAAAACGCCAACTAAGGATCCTAGAACAGTTCGATGTCCATCTCTTGAAAACCAACCGCGTGCTCCTAAAGTAACTGGTGACATATGAAAGTCTTCCTGTTACTAATACAGTAGATGGATGTTCCAAATACCTTGTTTTATTACTTGGATAGGATCCTTCAAACTAACCAAATAACATAATGAAACAATCTACTAGAACGATATCCTCCAACAGACCCTTGTATATGCTATATCGAGACGTGCTGGGTTAAATCTTTCAAGATGCGTTTACTGCAACGTTGCTTGGTGTACTCTTTAAATGCATTCTTCAGAGGAATATTATTGTGTTGGAACGTTCTACAGACCGTGGCTAACTATAAGTAACTATGCATAAACAAGTGGCTAATTTTTTTAATACGTTCGATCATTGTTATTCATATGTCCTTGATGTCACTAAACCATTATAAGGATGCATTTCTATCGTAGACTTTATCAGCTAACCACGTCTTCCCCACCTACAAATGAAGTTAATTGCTATTTGAAACAATCCAGCTGACGTTCGTGAGATTGCACCATTGCGTTACGCTTTTTCTACAAATTTAGCGTTCGCATTTGACCATCGAACGCATTCCGTGATATTTCGCAACTGTTTAAAACAAAAATGTAAGGTCGAGTTGCTCATGTGACGCAACAGTTTCAGGAAAGTGACAGATGATATGAGAAATCAGTGTGAAAAACACGGGCTTTGTTACCTGAAGGGGAATGTTGCAGGAAATTTGTTACCCCTGTGAGCCCATGTTGCCTTCTGAGTGTAAATTTAGTGTGAAGCGAAGCTATTGTTACGCCTGGTTGTTTTTACACACATAAACATCACAGGCAGTGAGGTATCCATGTAGCCAATGCCTTTGTACAAAGAATACATTAACAGCAAAAACCCTTGAACAAAACTTGCTGCATTAAGTGGTCTGTTTACTTGCATATTTCAATCATTTGAAAATACCGATAGTTTATTGCTTGGATGTGACATTGCCATACAGTATGAGTTCGTCTCTCTTCAAAGTTGTTAGGGTGTCCTCTCATTAAGGGGCACTCTACGGTGAAGATTTTTGATCATCTCATTTTTCTCTTGATCCATGTAAACCAAACACAGATATCCAACGAAGATTTGCGCACCCGTTGGGAGGACATACGAATTGACCATCTTGATGGAAAACTATATCCTAAGCCAAGTTATGATACTTCTACCCCAACTCCCCAATCTCCAATTCCCTCGCCAGATGGACATCCAGATTTTCCAAAAATTAGTGATGCAACAAAAAGCCGTTTGCTAACACGTCATGAAGAGCTACCGGAGAATTTAGACAAACACTTTCAATTTTACGATGAAAACGTAGAAGGAAAAGTGGAGGGATTTTTAGCAAAGCACGATCAGAAGTCAATCATTACGATTGATGGCCGACTGACTCCAAGTGAACGCTTTTACGTAAGTGGTATTTTATTTTCGGCTGCCTTGTACTTCTCGTGCTGTTTTACTGAACGTTTTTACAGAGCATATTAAATTCGGCTTGGTTTTAACGATAAAAAACCAATTTCTATCGTTTCTGTCGCATCGGGAATCAACGTACACATGGTACACAGTTTGTAGCCGATACATTGGACTTAATTGAACATTTTTACCTAAATTTGCACTCAGCCCTAACTTTGCTGTTACCTTTTGATGCGTATCAATTATATGGATGCCATGTGACCATACTCGTAGATGGACATTTCGAAACTCACGAACAAAAATCCTTTCCTCACTATTGTGGTAACTGCGCGTGTATTCTGTAAAGAGGGCCGAATAAAGCAGACCTTTTGAGTTATGATAAGTTGGGAGAGGCTTGAACTGTTCCGCGGAAACTGGCGACCAATTAGACTGACTCAACCTACTAAAGTGCATTGCAGTACCTATGCTGTACTTGTTTTTTGTATTCAGCCAATAGAAGCGGACACTGCGATTACCATGTAGATGAAATTATAGACTTCCATCCGAACAACAAGCGTCTCATCTATATGGATGTTCTAAATCGGTGGCTGTTCCTTGTCTTGTCTTTTTCCTCGTTTCAAAAAACAAGAAGTGAAATCACCTTCAGAAATTTTTCTTACCAAGAGGTAAGAACCATCTGCAGCTAAGCAAAACAGTTAAATTTAGCAAGTTTACTTCTTGAAGGTCCTATTGATTCGTGCGATCTTGAATTTGTTTTGTTTTGCGTACGATGTTGACAAAAACATATGTGCTAAAAATGCACATAGACTACCTAACACTGTTGGGCACCTAAAAGCTGACAGCACGTTCATAATGTGACTTGAAAGAGACCTTATCAGATATGTTAATTAATCTATCCACTTAAGAAACAGCGTGTATTCTGGAGATGCCAAATTGTGCTCTCCGAACACTTTGTCGACTAATCCAACGCAGGCTGCCACCTGGCCCCTTAGCTTCATTTTTTGGCCGCGTGTATCCACATCTCTGTTCACAGTGTGATTGAACGGCGTTATCGCATTCGGTGGACAGACGCGACGACTAATGTTGCTTTTTCACACGGCTATTGAATAAAAATGTTTTTTTATTCGTCATTGCCTTGAACAGCGGTCAAACTTAACTTTTGGAGCATGGTCAAAGCTTTCTGAAGATATATTCGAGCAGCGCTGACAAGTTGAATCTGCATTCTTCAGAAAGTACCGTAAGTGCATAGGACATGAACTCAAGGCATCGAGTGTTGAACATAACGGGACTGCTTTGGCGTGCCATATCGATCGTTAGTTTGAATTAGAGTGACGTACATTGCTAGGGTAAAACGGGTTTTCAGCAAGAGGCCAAGCAAGTTAAGAGGCCAAAACCTGATCAGAATCTCGTCAAAACACGTAACCCACCATCATACATAAACCATCCAAAGATAGTGAAACAGTTAGTGTTTTTGGAATTGTTATTCTTTGATAACCGCTCTCATACGTGCCAAGACGTGCCAAAACGTCAACTTACGGGTGTTAAATGAGCTATGCCTATTAGTAGTTTCGGCATCCGAATTCCATTCTATTTGTCTTACATGGCAAAGCAACATGGACAGTTTTACGCAAATTGCACGCTGTGCTGTGAAGTCCGTCAAGATAGCTGGGTGGGATAGCCACATCCGAAAGAGCACATCAGCTTCATTTGATGAAAGCACAGTTCAAATCTTTTAACCCCCTATAGGCCAGTCTAGCTGACCATTATAGTTAGACTGCGCAATAAGCACCTCACGTAGCAACTCGCAAAACTGATTTTTGAAATTGGCAACGAAGTTGATAGACGGAAAAGTTGCAGAATATAACAAGACATTAGTTTTGAGTGTAAGTTTGTATTGTTTGTTCAACAGCGATCAGTGAATACTCCTAGCTTTCCAAAAGGCAATAATTAGAATGATGGATCCGGTCACTTTACGACGGGTGGATTTGGGATGAAGAGTACTATTTGTGAAAGCTGTCATATTACGTGACAATTATTAGTATTCATTATAGTAACCATAGTAACCATAGTGACAGTGGTTAATGCCGTTCCAAACGACATTGGTCCTTGCAAATATGGACTGTTGTCAAATTCAGGCCAGTTGGGCTATCTCCGTGAGTCTCAGTTGCTTTGAGGATCAATGAATATTTTCATGACACTCAAAACCAAAATCCAAAGCGACGATGTGCAGAGTTGCAGTATGCATGATTGTCGGCATCAGAGACATTCATCTATTTAATAGAACTCTGTTCCAGCATGAAATTTCTATAAAAAAGCTCATGTTATGGTAAATCATCCCCCGACATGCAGATCGTGAGAGACAGAAAGAAGCTTCCTTAGTTTATAAGAATGCTTTTTTAAACTTTTCTAAATGTTTTTCAGTCTACTTTGCAGCAAAAGTGGTTTTATTGTTTGATTCGGGTGATATATAAATGTAGTTTTATTATTCTTTATAAGGAACATGATATGACTGATGCAAGTTCTTTGACAGCGTCCTTCAAGTACTAATGGTTGGTCTTCCGTGAAAGTTGAGGCTTCAGTTGAAGCCCCCTCTGTACCTCATGTTAACAGTAAATAAAGGCGCATCTTATTATTGATGGGGAAGCTTAACATTAAGGTACCAAAAAGCTCCAGTTGAAATAAGGAAATGCGCCTGCAGGATTGGTCTTTAAACAAGTCAAAAACGGCAGTGGACTGTCAATAAACTTTCATAAAATTTCCCATTCATTTTGTGAGTTATCCCCACTTTACCTTTCCAGGAAACAATGACAAAGTTGGGAGAGTTACCCAAACAAATGAATCAAGATGATTTGGTCATCCAGTCTGATCCTGCAATCCTTGAATCTTTTGTAAGTATTCCTGCGTGCATATATTTATTATAACTGAAATCATTTATTTAGTTTGAAGGAAGAGCCGCTTTTGGTGAAAACCCACCGCGAATCATAATGGTTGGAAAGCCGAGTACGGGCAAGACTACATTAGCAAAAATGTTGTCCCAAGCTTGGGGATGCCTTTATCTAAACGGTAGGTAATTATGCTTTCATTCAGTGGCTCCTTTCTAACACGGAAATCTTCGGACTTTATCGACACGTGTGTGGATGTTGATCTGATTACAAATCTAGGGTAAACTCAAGCACGGGACTTTACTGCAAGAGCTGCTGCAAGTAAAGTGCCATTTGATAAAAATCGAATAAGCAAGAACACCGTGAAGCAGAGATTTCCGCACCAACACCAAGGACGAGTTGAAATAACCCAAAAGTTATGGTCAAATATCAGAATCCAGGAAGTACCATTATCTTCAAAAAAGAGAATAGACATCTCAGCATTGAGTACAAATTATCTTACCTTGGGTAATTCTAGCAACTGGGTATCAAATCACAGTGCAACCTGTATTGGTGTACGGCTGTGAGACGGATAATGTGAAAAATCTACGGAGTTTTTGCCAATAACCTTTCAGATTTGAACCAGCGAATATGCACTGAAGTGGTCAGAAAACGGGTCTGTTGTGTGGCAAAATCCACACAACTAAAAGATTGCATCCAGCAATTCAAGCTACGATGGATTTGCCATGTGTTACGCATTTAAAGTTCCCGCCTGATGAGAACAGTGTTTTCTGTGCCTAATTCGCAATGGCGCAAATCTGGAGGTGGATAGAATATGAAAGTGAAGAAGAAAATGAAAGGTGAGGAGAAAAGTCAGCGTTGTTCATCTTTCGGGATTGGGTCTGTGTAACCTTTCCGATGCCTGGCTGAAGACACGACGAAATGGCGGCTAATCGATATCAGTGTCACTCATGTTGTCATTTTCTATCCGGATTTGCTGACTAAATGTTGGAGATATAGGCACTTCAGTCGGTTGCGGTAAGCTACCTTTAAATCACCTCCCTGTTTAACCTTTCTTCTATCCGTTATAAAGCTTTGCTCAGTTAAAATGATACGGGTGTAAAACAGTAAAACACCAGTATTCTCCACTGATGTTGCTGTCAGTGATGATGATGATGGTGGTGATTATGGTGATAATAATAATAATGACGTTGATGATAAGGATGAATTTGGTGTGTGGGTTGTAGCCCATATATCGAGGATTACGTGCATATCAGAGGGTTCAAAGCCTTCGCCTGTTTAGTCCACAATGCCTTCGCAAGCATCTATATAAGATGAATCGCACTTTCTCAGCATTTTATTGCGACGAACTCGGTCCTTCACAGGATATGTAGCATCCGAGTTTGGATCCGACCACCGGTTTACCAAATCATCCACGGATCAACACAATTTTCCAAGATGACCGTAACATTCCTACCCTGGTGACTGAAATAGTACCTGTATCTTGTGTTGAGTTCTATCATGTTCGCGGGTTGCAGTCGCACGGTGAATGAAATTTGAACAAATTTTCAACAAATGCTGCCTAATTTCTTTCACAAAATCTAGCTTATTCCTTGATCGTGCGTGAATCTGCCCCGAGAAATGCTGAGGTGGATGAGTATACCTATGACAACAGAAAGTGCGATTCATAATTCCAGTGAAGGGCGCGCCATTTTCAAAAGTGTACACAGTTTCGAAGTCCAAGAAACTAATGTTAAAAAAGCATGAACACACATTAGAAGAACTTCATAAAGACAGTCTCTTTAAAAGACGGCAATTAAAATGAGATTTGAAGTTCATCGTCGAGAACTAAGGTTAACCATTATGTTTAAAGTGATTGGTTACCGCAAGATTTATCGGCCTCTTTACCTACTTTAAGTATAATATCCCTTCATGGATGACCAAACAGCAACCTATGAAATATGACATTCATTTCAGGGAAACCAGTCAAAGTTTCCAATAAACAGTCAGATTTGATCG